GAACTGTAGTGACCTGCTCAGCCTTACCATCATGTGAAATTCTGAAATCCCTGCACAGATGATGACTGGGATGTGAAAATTGCCTGCCAAGCAGACCTGGGTAAAGTGATCGGTTTACAGTGCTCTAGGATTTGCAGGTGGAAGGACTGCTCTTTCATGCTCCTCTGCTACCCTCTTCCCCTCCATCTCTGTACATATCATTCTTTTATTTATACATATATATATATATATACGTGCAGATTTGATTCCACATTCAGCACCCAACTAACTGAATTGATGTTCTTACTGAAGATGGTGAAGTTCCTCCCTTCTGCCAAGTACAGTTATTTTGTGAGTCCCCAATAAAAGGTAAAATAAGAGAAACAGGATGTGGGGTAAACTAGTCAATCAATTTAAATGGGGATGGACCTCAAGAGCCCTAACACTTAAACACTTTGTCTTCACTTGGCTGTGCTCTATCTTAATTGGGGAGTACAACAAGGACAAACAAGTGCGGCCTCTTCCTACTGTGGATTGTAGCATGAAAATATTTGTGAAGAGGTGGAGTAAGCATTTTTGGGAATCACACTGCAAGAGGAGACATGGGAACTCACTGTGATGCAAAAGGAAATCAAGTGTTGCTCCACAGATGATGTGATTGGCATTGCGAGCTCAGGTGCACACAGACAATCAAGGCACAAAATCAGGACTGAAGCATAATGAACTGCTCCTTTCTTCAGAAAGTTAGTGGGAGTCATAAATACTTCTGTGCCAGCTAGGAAAGCTACAAAAATGAACTAAATCATGACTCTATTTCCATACTGATCCATGCACTTTGGAGTAATAAGTATAAAAGTGCCTTCTTTTTGGTATTTCTGCAATTACATAAATATTTACACTGATAAGTAATTTTGCAGAAGTGAAAAATGATAGGCTGCATGATAGCTATTTAAGGGGACAGGCAGCCCACCTTTCAGTTGCCACGGTGACTTGCATCAAGTTGTAATTGCAGAAGGTGCTTCTGGAAATTAATGGTAAATCTTATATTCCCTTGCATTTAGAATCCAAATCCATTATTTCGTTAATACTGTTAATAATATAACAATTAATCATATAATAATTATAAAAATAATTATATAATAACTATATCTGAATGAATAATAAGTCTTTGTGTGTCCAAGTTAATAGGAATCCTGCATTCGTGCTTACTATAAAATGCAGCAAGCAAAAGCGAGATAAATTCTGTTTAATATGGAAATAATTTTGGCTGCATCTTTGACTTTGTATGACATGGAAACTGGTGATTGTTTATGCTTTGCTACTTTTTTTGGTCTGCATTAAAATCCCACATGAGAAACAAATTTTTTCTAGGAACAAAATGTTACTTTTTTGGGACTGAGTTCTAGTAAGTTGGGTAGTACGTCTGCTTTTTTTCAGCTGGGAAATTGCAATGCATATAAAATCCAGATGGATAGCACATGAGGCTGGAAGCAGCCTTGGCCAATCAGCCATGTCACTTGATTAAAAGAAACCTAATAATTTAAGTAAAAATAGAATCCCAACAAAGTAGTAAGAGCAACAAACTGGCTGCAGCACGGGATTTCATCACAATTCCAATATTGCTTTACTTTTGCTGGTTGGCCCTCTCATAGCTTATCATAAATTAACCTATTTGCATTAAGCATGCGTGGAACTTGTGGTTCATGCCCCAAAATATCAGTGATGGAGAATACATGATAAGCAGGATGAGGAGGGAAATTTGGCATCAGACTTCAGAGGGCCACAAGGACCTATTTCTCTTAGGGCAATGGTGCACTTGAAGAACTCAGCTGAGAGTGTAGCCATAAGAAATCACCCACCCTGGCACGAGCCACACTAGCGCAGACCAGTACTTTTTGTATGGATTTTGCCTGTGTCTATCAGAAGGCAAGTAAATAAACACATATCAGTGCAATGACAAGGTCACTCTGTGGAAAAATCTCCCATGAGATTCAGTAGATTTTTTGGGTGAGATTGTCTAAGGCAGCCTGTGAAGAAGTCCCAAACAGGACTTGCAGAGGGATGGAGCCACATCTGGAATCCCTATGGGCAATTGGAGGAATGTTTATTATTCTTTGTTTATTATTTTGAGTGTGTACTCTCCCTCTTCCTTTCTTTGTTTCTCTTTGTTATTTGTGTAATAAAATTCCTCTAGGCGTACAAAGTAAGTAAGTCATCTGGAATTGTGCAGTTCCCTCTGCCAGGAAGCTGGAAAAGCCTCTCTCTCGTGCAGAGACAAAAATATGGGCTCGTCTCAAACACAGAAATTACAGAAATATTCACCATTTGCCTTTGAGTTATATTTACATAGGAAAGAACTGCAGCAAATACGTGTGCTTCTTGCTGTTAAAAAATTGGCTTTTATCCTGCCCAAGGTGTTGTGTTTATTTAAAAGTTGTTGAGAAATAATTTGTACATTCTAAAATAAAGCATGCAAAATATATTAAAAGGGCCCAATGACAAAGTTGTTTTTTTTTCTGCCAGTGGGTACGGAGAAGGAAAAGGAAATGAGTAAGTAGAGAGGAGCGTCTTTATGGCCACATGGCTAGTGAAAATTTCTATTTATTCTTTGGGGAAAAAGCAAAGTAGCTGCATAGTTGCTGGTTGGATAGGTGCCGGGACTATTTTTATTGGCAGGCAGCTCTGAGTGGCTGAAAGGTGGTCATTAACACCCTGACACAAAGTGCTGACAGGGCGATTATAAGATTAACACCCTATGCTATATTAACAGTGTCAAAACCTCCCCATACCTGTCAGTGAGAAATAATGGCATGAAGGAAAGCATTATAGACATGCTGAGACTTTAACATTGAAATACCATGCAGCTATTCACTTTTTGAAATTGATCTCAATATCTAGATGACCTGACTGAAGGCTCATAAAATAAAGGAATGTGATTTAAATGGTAGCTTCACCAAATCAAAAAATGAATGCAAATGTTAAGCCACCCAGCTTATTTACTCTCTTGTTGACACTTATAGCCCTGATCTCTCTCAATAGAGTTATGGTTTGAGATCTCATAAATTTAGGATTTGACCTTAGGACTTGAGAAAAACAGAGCTATCTGGAGAATATTATTACTGATGTACAAGGCAAAATTCAACCTCAGTCTTCCTCCAGGATCACTAGTCATCACAAACTATTTTTATCAGTGAGAGCCTTAGGACCATAAGGACCAATCTGTATTTAAAATGTCTCTGCTCCATGTTCACTGCAACTGGAACAGCAAACCCTCTAGCACAGTTGTCCTGGAGAATCTCCAAAGAAGGGCAACAAAGCCTGTGAAGTTTATGGAGCACAGGTCTTATGGAGAGTGGTTGAGGGAAATGGGATTGTTCATTCTGGAGAAGGGGAGGCTCAGGGAAGACCTTATTGCTCTCTACAGCTACTTGAAAGTAGGCTGTGGTGAGATGAGGGTCAGCCTCTTCTCCCAGGTATCAGTGATAGGATGAGAGATGACAGCCTTAAATTGCACCAGGGGATGTTCAAGTTGGATATTAGGGAAAATTTCTTCTCAGAAAGAGTAGTGATGCATTGGCACAGGCTGCCCAGGGAGGTGGTAGAGTCACTGTCACTGGAGGTGTTCAAGAAAAGGGTGGACGTGACACAGAGTGACATAATCTAGAGCAGTTGTGGCAATGACTTGATGGTTGGACTAGATGATCATAGTGGTCTTTCCAACCTTGATGATTCTACAATAGCTTCAGCTATACTGCTTTATACTGCCATAAATTCTGCAAGTTTTGATTAAGAGGATAAGCTAGGAGAAGAAAAGTTCTTCCTGTAAGACTAAATCTATACCTTCACTAAAAAGTAAAAAATATTGCCCAAGGTTGCCAGACAAAGCATTCTTTCCGTCTTTTTGTTGTTATATTTTATGTTGTATATGATGATAACACAGCCTATATGTCTCTGAGACTGATAAATAAAATACAAATTAAATATTTTTACAATACTTTGGTTTCTAAAACAAGATAAAGACATGGTCAAATCACCCCACGTTCCAGGAAATACTTCTGAGTTGCATAAAAAAGGTTTGATAGTTTTAAGTGGGATTTGAGGGGGTTTACAGAATGTCGCAATGCCATCCTACCTTATTGAAACCCCTTACTAGAAAAGTATATGTAATTAACTTAGCATGTGTTACGAATGACTTAAGCTGCATCTGAAAAGTTCAAGTGTCTTGGAAATAGATCTTACACAAACGTTTAATAACTAAACAAGGATAAAGGATGGATTAATGGCTGTAGTTTAGTTTGGAGGCTTCTGGAAGATAATGCCAAAAATTCACTAGTACTTTCAGAGCTTCTATGAAATGAATACCATGCCTGCAGAAAATTGAGCATTTATTATAGCAACTGTTCAGAATTGCCAAAGGTAGGGAGTTTCCAATAAATAGGATTCTAGTTCTAGGATACTGGAACTACCCGTTAAAGTATTTGTATGTGTAATTTTATTACAGCATCTGCTTTGGCTGAAATGAAGGTCTCCAGGGCAATTCTGAACTTTCAAGTTGTCTGCAGAATGGAGTGTTTTCATCTAAGTATCTTTTCTACTTCAAAAAAATGAAAACTCTGACTTAATTTAGAGAAAATGATGTTTAATCATGTTTTACTAATGATATGCGTGCAGTTTTCTGTGATGATGAGAGCCTCAAAATACTTTCTGAAATGCTAGAAACACCTTTAGAGATTTTTGGTGTTTCACATATTTGAGTGATTTTTTCAAAGCAAGGCAAAGTCAGTGCTATCAAGATAGTTGAGCATTCTGTGCTCTTAGTTATAGTCATACCATGTGGTCATCGAAGACACTCGATTGGTGAGAATTCACGTATGCTGCAGTCTTCTGGGGCTTCAAGTAATATATAAAGGCTTTGTTTACTAAAAGAATATTGCTGTAGACTTCAACTGCAAACTGTGTAAGAACAATTTTAGCCATTCAGTGAATGTATACTTCACTCTGCTTTATTTTACCTTTCTTAGTAGCCCTGAGTGACTCTGTGGGAAATCCTGTGCCCTGTTTAATGTATCTCTGGAAGTATGCAAAACTCAGAGATGCTGGCTCTTATACTATTTCACAGAAAAGGGAAGACTGTGCAGCAGTCCTGTTTGCCAGGTGAGTCAGAAACAGTCTCCTCAAGTTCTGCTTGTCCTGGAAAGAATTAAGAGGGGACTATGGGTTTGGTAGAGCTAAACCCAGCAATCAGTGTGTTCTACAGCCTCACTGGCTCTGCATGCTGAATGGGAGCAGAACAACAAGCTCTATGTGCTAATCCTTATCCCTTTCTTTCTGGACATCTTCTCTGTGACAAGAGAGCATGGGTCGCGTTCTGCCCTCATCCTTTCTGTCACAGTTGCAGATCAAGACACACTTCATCAAAGCCTGCTTGGCACTCAACTAAAAAAAGCCATAGCACAATGAAAGCACAATGAAAATGAAAGCCACTAAATAGTTAATAAGCTATGAAATCGTGTGTAGACATGAAAGGGGAGGAGAGCCACCCACGACTGTGTTCACAAAGGAGTGGAGATGTAAGAGATGACCTTCCATGACCACTAAATAGATAACTTCATCAGGATGTTCTTGTTCCAGAACATTAGCAGATTCTTGCATGTCTATCATGCTGAAGGGACAGAAACTTTACTGTAGTTATTTGGAAGGGTTTTTGAATGAGTGAGGAATATATACATATACATACATACATACATACATTTATATATATATAAAACAAATGTATTATATATACAGTGTTTATATGGACTGTGGTGCTTATCTCTAGTAGGGAGTTTATGAACACTACCTGAGTACTACAGTCCTTAAACTCAGGTTGCCTGGCTTGGCTCTGCTGTCTCATACCAGGAAGAAAAAAATGTGTGCTTAGCAGCTAAGATCCATGCTCTTGCAATCCTTTGCAGTCCAGGCCCCACCAAAAAGCCATTTAAAAATGGCAGGTGTAACTCTGCATTGTTTTAGCATTATGTGACAAGCAGTACATCATTTCAGTCTCTTTAAGAAAATAGCCATATATTGGATCTTTGCCTCTGACATACTGGTGAGTGATGTAAAACCCATCTACACTAGAAATAAAATCTCCTGTTTCTCTAGAATAAGTAAATTTCCATTGCTCGGTGTACACAAATTATGTCACCTGCCACCCTGATATTATTCTTGAGGGACAGCATACTTTACCAGCTAGTTACACTTTGCCCAGTAGAAGTACTGAGTTCATTCTGATTTATTTGATTTTATGAAGTTAGTAAGACTGAGAAACTTTGTCCTAGAAATGCTGTTCTGTGTTGCACAAGGTCACCCCTTGCACTAAGCAAGCAGAGAGAGAAAGTGGACTGGAGCCTGCACTATAACACTGAAAACCACGCCTTTGTGCCCTCTCATCCACAGTGCTTTGCCTTTCTTAAAATATGCTAAGATAGATTTTAATGCAATTCCAGAGCAATATTCATTTTTAAAAAACATGCTATGGACTAATAATTCAGGAACGTTTCTTTATAATTGTGCTAGGTGGATCAATTTTATTTTTTCCCTCTTTACTTTCCAGGCAATTTTAAGAACATAAGCAGAATGCTCCATTTGTCCTTTTTATACAGAAAAACCCTCACATTTATGAGTGACATCATGATGAATCACAATAGCAACCAGAAATAGAAGAATTCCTGCTTGTACTACCGCAGCTTTGGGATGAGTTAAAAACGGACAAACTACTGAACAGTGACTACTGTCAACAGCTGGCTTTTGCCAAAACCTTCACAGATTCAGAATGGGAAGTTTACATCATTTAAAAAATCCACAAGTAGCGACAGATGAAATTCAACCCCATCCGCAGCACTGCTTGTCAGCACAGCAGTATTGGAGACACATCACATCAACACAAAACAATGACATGCATATGTGCCCGTAGACCTCACCACCCCATCACCATCCCCCATGCTGAAGTCTCAGTTGTACAGACAGCAAAATACAGCCATACCTGGAGGCAGGAACAAGGTGAAGAGCCCGTGGTAGCTGTGTTGGCTTCACTGCCATTGTTACCATTTGTTGATCATTATTTGTCAAGATTTATGTCTGTTTAGAACAAAACAAGCATTGAAAGTTTTGAAGGGTTGCTTAATGGAGAGAACAAGTTTCAACTTTATTCCCTGCTTTCATGCAATCAGAGGTTATGTTTATTTAGAAAGCTAACATTTATACAGATTATGCACTTTCAGTGCTTCCATGCCAAAAAATACATGACTAAAATGGGTCTTTCCATCACTCTTTCAGTTTTTGACCTATGATTGTTTTTACAGGAACTGGATCTTTTAAGCAATAGCCTCTGGTAGAGTAAGAGGAAAGCACAGCACCTTGTGCAATAATTTGCAAAAAGTGGCTTAGGCTAAAGGTTTTAAGCAAAATGCATTTGAATCACTCAGCTTTCCAGACTACCCCAAACACTGTTTGATTAGGATAATTGCCAGGGCGAGTAGGAAGGGTCACCAAGCAAAGCTAGGTGGTAGTGGAGGTCATCAGTTAAGGAAGTATAACTTTGAAGCAGTGTGAAACTTTTTATTTATTAATCCTCCCAATAAACTTTTCAAAGTCTTAAAAACAGTGAAGTGAGAATTATTACAGATTGAGAATTGAGCTCCCAAATCAGTGAATAATTATTCAAGCTGTAAATATGCTTTGTTGCATGTGCTGTTGATTATTCTGCTCTTGACAACATTTAAAATGTTGCTGTTTTGTAAGTAAGAAAGAAATGTTTGTGTCATGTTTGTATGGAAGTGCTTATTTAAAACTCATTTTAAAAATCCACTCACAGCAAAAAAAAAAATCCAGGAAAATTACTATGGTCAACAAGATCTATCTTGCCACTGTCCTTTATTTTTTAGTGACTTGTCCTTAGGTGTCAATTTCCAGCCTCATAAATGCTTTGTTTTTGTATCATTGTGTAGAAGTGGTACTGAGCCATGTGAACAAGCGCTAGAAATCTCCGATTGTGTGCAGTTGAGGCTCTTGCCTAGGAGATAAGAGTTTTCCTATGGAACCATTCAACAAAGCAAGAACATATGAAAAAGAAATGTCTTTCTGCTTTCCAATATTTTTTCAGCTGAAAAACAGTGACAAAGCTTAAGGATGTGATTTTTTTTTTTTCCCCTCCACGTTCTCACACTTTCTAAATGCTTTCCAACTGGCAAAACAGTCAATGTTACTTTGTGTTCTCTCCTGCCTTTAGAAATAAAGACAGTCTGAAATGCAGGAAAGCTCTATTTGAAAACAGTCCTAGTATTCCTTTATTTTGAACTATTCTTGAAGGAAGGAGTAGGATTTGTTTGTTTTTCTTTTCACAATAAAAAATGAAAATATTCAGAAACATTCTTCTCTGAAACACCACTCTGAGTTTATCAGAAGTTAATCTTTAAGTTGCGGTTATTTCAAACTCCCCTTTATAGGGCAGTCTTTATTTCAGCCAGTCTATCATACAGAGTCACAGCCTCTCCACAAATTTTTCAGTTTTTTGCTTTAAATAGAGATTGGGAAGTTGATTTGCATCAGCAAAGTGTTCATTAAAAAGGATTAAACATGGGTAAGTGCCGCAGCCCCATGAAAGAAAACAAGGCTAAACATCATGCATCTCATTTTCATTGGTCTTGGCCCAGAAACACCACCAACCAGCAAGACTGAGATGTCCAACTCCCTTTTTCTTACCCCTCTATAAAAGGAATTTTATTTTGTTGCCTCACAGCTTCCCTTGGTGACTGTGAGCACTCAGCTCCCACATGTGGGGTTCAGGAGCATGGATGTAGGTAGCACTGCCTCTCCATGGCTTCCAAGGTGGGGAAGCTCCCCCAGACATCAGTGTAGATAGATCATGACCTCGAGATTTCATGAGAGGATTTCATTTCTCTCATCTCTCTTGCTTGCATTGCCACTTGTACCTAGATTCTCCCCATTCCACAGCCAGAGGTAAGTGATGCTCAACACGAGCCCAGTAAACCTTTACTGAATCATAGAATGGCTTGTTGGAAGAGACCTTAAAGATCACCCAGTTTCAACTTCCTGCCATGGGCACGGTTACCAATCACCAGATGAGGCTGCCCAGGACCCCATCCAACCTGGCTCTGAATGCCTCCAGGGATGGGATCTTCACCAAAAGTCCACAATAGCCTCTAAGTGAGGAAAATAATCCAATTTATGTGTAACAGCTGAGCTGCCACATTTCTTTGTATGGGGCTACCCTTCTCTGTTCCTTCATGTAGGTGTTACAATTAACAGGCGTGCTGCAGTTAATGAAGATCTCTGTTCCTGCAAAGGCGAGGAGAGTTCTCACTTTCAATATATTTCTGATCACTTACAATCCTACAAAGCTTAATGAAGCGATTGTAGGGTTTAGCAGCCTTTCATCCTATAATTACATGTTTTGTTTCAAGAATTATATTAAAGCTGGGGATGGAATATTTTCAGAAGACTTGGTAAATAACTGAGATGCACAAGACTATTTATTAAGAAAATCTGCCTGGAATTAAGTTCTCCTACAACATTTTCTATACTTCCTACTTGAAGACTGGCTGGAAATCTGAGAAGAGCTGTTCTGTTCCAGCTGAAGTGAGTAGGTGCCAAGGTTTTAGAAGGCTGAGAGAGGCAAGGGGAGGAAAAGAGAGTTACACTTTTTTTCTTTAGAAATTCAGGTTCATCTTGAGCTTTGGGAAGCGGTTACAATTCACTTTTGTTTTGTCTAAACAAATTTCTTCACTTTTATTTTGTCTGAATCATCTGGCTGAAGTAAAGCTTGGGCTTTTCTTCCTCGAGGATTTACACTGAATAAATAGGTTTGGTCACAAGGCATAAGCTGAAGCCTGTTTGTAAGAGCTCATCTATTCCATGAGGGCACACAGGAACCTCTTTGGCAATGCACAAAAGACCAGGTCAGCCCAAATTATTTAAGATGTACTTGCACCGGGTTTGGCCCAACTCCAAATCTGAACTATGCTGCCTGGGATGATCGCTGGCACAAGAACATATATTGAATATCAGTCAGTATGAAATTATTCTGATGTGAACTGATACATTATCTGAAAGAACAGGCTCCATTTCTCCCTGTTTGTGTTAAAATAACTGCAGTTCCATCTTTAAAGGATTGAGGTAGCTTTCACGACTGATATCAACATAAAACCTTTGAAATTATTGTCTGAAATGAAATAGAATGGAACATCATCTGAAAATCCCTGGCAGAAATGCTGGCGTAAAAGACTTAGTAAATACTTTACTATATTTTCACCTTTGAAGAGGAATTTATTGCTGTATAGAAAGGTGTGCCCTGTGTTTTTGTGTACATGTGATACAGACTTCACCAGAGGAATAGATGAACATCTACATGTACAATTTGAGTAACCAAATGAAAAGATACATATAAATCACTCTGAAAGTAATGCCTCCTATATTTTTTCCATGGAAACTGCAACAGATGCAAACAGCACAATAACATGACTTGATAAAGCAAATTTTCAGCTGCAAAACACTGTTTTTCAACATAAGCACCACCACTAGCTGTGCATTTTCAGCAATGAACAAAAGCATGCATGCTACACTCGCACAAATCTGTACAAGCAGGGATGACCCACTGCTGCTGCCAACACTGCTGAAATGCACCATTCACTGCCTCACTGTGCTCACATCCACTATTTGTATTCCACAAATGTTCAGCAAGTGTCAGTGAATGTCAGTGGGTGCCTCTGTTTCCACATGGAGGAATTCAGTGACACACCTTTGCTTCACACACTCTTCCATGTCAGATGCCATTGTGAAAGACTGCCCCTCTGCTGCCATCTGTCACAAGGCAGCAATATGTAACAGACTGTGGGTGAGAGGTTCAGCCACTACTGCCATACCACCAATGTAGACCTCTGGTATTGTGGGCCAATAAATAGGAAGCATTACTTTCAGTACAACCCTCCTACAGGTGCTTACCACAGAACAATCACAATGACATTGAGTCAAGGATAATGGCCAAAGTTATTTCAAGTGCAAAATTGAAGAAGCTAAGAAAGAAGACAGGAGAGAAATTGCAGCCAATTCATACATCCACCGTTTTTCCAACCAAGCATTGTGGTAGACTTTTTATTAGCAGAAAATGTAGTTTAAGGATATGAAATGTGGGCGAACTCAGAACAGTAACATTTTTATCTATAGAGAGGGGTGCCAAGATCACAAAGGGTAAGTATGAACACTCAGAGTTTCTCCCACAAGCTCTAACTCATATCAGTTTTAGATTTTGAGAGCAGAAAACAGAGAGAACATCCTCACTCAAAGCTATAGAATGATTCAAATGCCATCTCTACAAATGAAATATCCCCACTCCAAAATAAGAAAAAAAAATAAGAAAAACACGGCGTCAGTAAGATAGTAACAAACACAAAATATTTAAGAAGGATGGCACATGCTGTGCAATGGTAGTTTAGCTCCAGTGTGTTATAATCAACATGAAAAATGATTTCTTCTAGCTATTTCTTGTCACTCTCCTCCAAAACAGTGACTGCGTTTTTTCTGGTGCACATATTGAAATACTGCACTTTGGGGTTTTGATCCTCTGAATGGTTATTCTTTCAAAAGAGTCCCTGCTAAGATGTCTGAGTCTGATGGCCACGGGTCTTTCAGCAGAGCAGCTCTGTCTTATACCGTGCTACCACAAATAAACACTGTATTGAGCAGAAGTGCCAAAAGAGAGAAAAAAAAAATCTCTTTCTTTCCTTGCAAGGCCAAACATGCTGTCTTTGGACAGATTTCAGTCTTGCTTTAATTCATTAAAATAAGTGAAACAAAATCACCATTTACATCCTTGACAGCTGACAGGTTTTATGTGTTCTTACTGCTCCTGCCAAGTCAAGGAAGGAAAAAAAAAAAAGGAGTTTTCATTCAGCTCTGTCATGGATCTTCGGAGTGCTGGAAGTGTGAGAGATGTCAAAATGTATTCATAACAATGACATACAGTACCTGAAGGCAGGAACGTATTATGCTAGTGTACTGGTGTAAAGGAAGTTACAATTCTCCTTTTTACCCACAAGCCCACAAGAACATCAGAAAACATACCAGTCCTGCAAGAGGGAGTGATTTGCTTTCTACAGAGTCACCTGTTCCAAGTGCTTTCTGATCATCAGATTGCTTTCCAAGATATACTAGATAAATTCAGTTCAGCTGCCGAGCTGCCATAGGCAGATCCTGCCATGACCATATCCCCAATCAGTGACATGAGAAAAATGAGAAAAGTGCTCTTCTGCACTGCACATCAATTGTTTGGGTAGGAAGAGTTTGCCATTCTGTCTGCTTGTACTTGTACACAGCAACATAAAAGGAAACATTATAGTGAAAAGCAATGTCTAGCATATTGTGCTAGATAACCTTAGAGGTCTTTTCCAGCCTTAACGATTCTCTGATTCTATAATTCTATATACTTCAGCAGAAACTAGGAACAGAAACGACCACCAGCTTTTATGTTTTGCAGCCATTCCCTGGCCCAGCTAAGACAGAAAACCAGAAAGACAACCACTTAAAAAGCTCTTAAGAGGTAAAAGGTCTGAGGCATGATGCAAACCCCCAACGTTTCATGTCGTGATGCACATAGACCACAGCCTATATCACATTGCTCAAGAATGCACACCTTGAGTGAATACTGTCCAATCATATACATCTGAGCTGTATACAGTGTATTTCTTTGCCAGAAAGGAGATGTACAGTAAAGCCAGGCAGTTGTTTGAACTCTGTGGCACTGTGAAAAGTTATCTAGA